TACTTGACTAAAAAAAACAGAGGCAATTGCCACGAGCTTCCTGTACTCCCCTACCCCATATGTCAAAGCCTTTTGACATTGTGAAAGAAAATTCTCTGCATTTGGGGCCCCAGACCTGCCAGAAACATTTTATTTTAACTTAAATTATTGTACCCTAATCCAGTTATCTTCTGCTTAGAGAGGTGGTTCCAAAAATGGACAGTTTCCCTTTTGATTTTGAAAATCTCCAACAAAAGCTATTTTTGAATTGACTTTTTTTTAATAGTCTCAAATAATAGAATTCTGAAGTCAAGATTGAGCAAGGGTTCAGAGTTTAAGCAGTTAAGTCTTCTTCCTCAAACACAACAGTAGTCACTTAACTTTTGGCCTAAATGCTGTGTGTGGGGTTGGAGACCCACAGTTTAAGGAGCGCTGAAAGGATCTCGAATAGAAAAACTTTAAGAAGCCCTGGTAGAGAATAATTTTCAGAAAACAATTCTGTCCCTCTTTGAGCACTCTCTGTAAGGATTCTTCTTTTTTCAGTTGGTCACAGGTGACTTTTAGAGATACTTCTCATTAACTGAAGTAATCAAAGACTTCTTCCTTCCTTTAGTCTGCTCATTACTGCAGGGTACTGCTTTTAATTGGCTCAATCCGGGGCCTCTTGCCCTAATTCTGTTCTCTGGGGGATTAGAATTCTTCCCTGAACTTGTACCCAGTTTCCTCAAAGAAAGAGGTTTTCTCCTTAGTAGGAGGAAGGGGAGGGGTGTATAGGGCTTAGTGTATGGCTCTATAACTTTAGGCAAAATTATTGTCTTCATATTATTTAGTAATATGGAGCCTAAAGAGGGAAAGGGTGAGGGAGTTAGTGTGCTTCCAGACCATCATCCCCTATTCAGTGCTCTTTTACTAGCATTTCTCACCAAGGTCTCCCCTCTGATAAATTGTCCCCAGAATCATCCATTGTCTCTAATATGCTATTTCTCCCTAACTACTGGTTCTTTCTGCTGCCTACTGACATGTTTAGGTCTGTCCCCTTTTTAAAAAACATAACAAAACCAAAAAAGAAACCACACCTTGCTTGACCCTACTATCCTGTCTTTTCCTTTGTCTTTCCTCCCTTTCACAGCCAAATTACTAGAAAAAGCTGTCTATACTAATTTCTAGTTCTCACTCAATTCTCAATCCTTTTCAATCTGCCTTCTTTCTTATTACCTAGTCACTCAACTAAAATTATTCTTTTAAAAAGTTGCCAATGAGCTCTCATTTGAGACATCCAATGACCTTCACAACTACTCATTTTTCTTGACCTCTGCAACATTCGACACTATTTACCACCCTTTTCTGGATCTTCTCTCTTCCTATGTGGTATTGCCCTCTCTTCATTCTCCTGTCTTGGTATCTTCTGTCTCCCCTCCAACCCCCTCCTCCTTGGTCTCCTTTGCTGAATCATTTATGTTTACATTGGTGTACCCCAAGGCTCTGCCCTGGATTCTCCTCTCTATCCTTTCTCTTGGTGACCTCTTTAGCACCCATGAGTTTATTCATCTCTATGCAGATGGCTCCCAGATCAGTTTTTCCAGCCCAAGTCTCTCTCCCAGATTCCAATCCTGCATCAAATTGGATCAGTCAATCAATAAGCATTAAATTGATAGCTATGAGCCAAGCACTGTGCTAGGCACTAGGGTTACAACTACAGTGAGTGAAACAATCTCTGGTCCCAAGGAGCTTAAATCTGAACAGGGGACAAAGCAAATGCACGAATATATGTGGAAGAAGAGAAGAAGTCTTTGAAACAGGTAAAGAAAGTGTACATTCTAGATGTAGGGGGCAGCTAATGCAAAGGCACAGAGATGAGGGGTGAAGCATTATAGGTGAAGAACAGAAAGAAAGCCAGTTTGGATAAATAGCCAAGTGCAGGAGCGGGGAAAAATATGTAACAAGACTGGAAAGATAAGTTCAGGCCAGGTTGTAAAGGTGTTTAATACTCAAATAGGAATTTATGTTTAATCCTAGAGGCAATAGGGAGACACTGATGTTGATGGAGTAGGAAGTGACATGATCAGATCTGCTTTTAAGGAAAATCACTTTGGCAGCTGTGTGTCGGACAGACTGGAGTGGACAGGGAAGCCAGTCAGGAAGCCGTTTCAATAATTTAGGCAAAAAGTGATGAGGACTTGGTAGTGGTTGTGTGAGGTAGAGAGGAGAGATCAGATGTGAGATGTGGTAGAGGTCGAGATGCTATAGAAGTAGAATCAACCAGATTGAACCATGTGGGATGGAGAAGAGGGAGGAGCTGAGGTATTAATTTTTACCAGGATTGTAACCTGGGCGGCTGAAAGAATAGTGGTACCTTTGACACTTTGTTGTCACACATGTATCTCAGACTGAAGAGGTCCAAATCAGAACTCATCATCTTTGCCCTAAGACTGAGCCCTCTCCAAAATTTCCTAGTTTCTGCCAAGGATACCCCTGTCCTTCCAGTCATTCAGCTTTGCAACCAGCAGGTCATTCTTGATTACACACTCTCCTTCACTCACCCTGTAAAATCCGTCACTTGCCAGGTCTTATTGATTCTACTTCTACAGCATCTATTGTATCCCCCCCTTCTTTCCATTCACATGATCTGTTCCCTAAGAGAGGCCCTCATCCTTTCTCACCTGCACTACTACAGTGGCTTTGGAATTGCCTAAAGTAACTCCTTTCCAATCTACCCCGCACACAGCTGCCAATGTGATAGTCTTTAAAGCACAGGTTTGTGGAGCTCACTGTGAAGCAAGGAAAGGTACACAAAAATAAATATGATAGACTTAGAGGAACCAGGGAGGGCTGTGGAGACTAGATGCCACAGTGAATTGAAGAATAATTAATACATTTTGGAGGAATATGTGGCAGAAGAGATGGAAGGATAGGAAGTTATGAATTTCAGAATCCAGGATCATTACTGAAGGTAGTACATTTATTTGTGATAATGAGATTTAGTGTTCGACCATCCTTGTCAGTAACTGTGGTCATATAAGTTGAGAAAGTTGATGAGGTGGGAGGCCAGAGTGTTTTCAAGGGCATGCATGTATATGTTAAACTTCTTCAATATTAGGGCAGAGGTTGGGATAGAGAGGAAGACTATGACCAAGATGATAGTGACCAGGATCTGAATAGGGTTGATGTCAGATAGATAGGTAGCAAGGTGGTCTTAGTGTGTTGAGAGACAGAAGAGTAGTAAGCCCTGTAGAGGCAAGGCAAGAATACAGTCTAGACAGAATCTGTGAATGCCAGGTAGTCGAAAGAGTATGAAAGGAAGATGGAAGGAGAGGTGTGTGTGTGTGTGTGTGTGTGTGTGTGTTCAATGACAAAGTAGGCATTCCAGAGGTCATGAATGGAAGGGAGGGTAAAGAAGAAGAGACTAGAAAAGAGCAGAGTTGAGCTTGTTGCTGATGATAGCTCACTGAGAAGAATCAGAGGAAGTGTCTTCACCTTGGGAGACTGAAGAAGAGAAGGTTTGGAACCAGTGATGTGGGGAGGGGTTAGAAGGTTAGTCAGGGAGAACAAAAGAGTTACCACGCAAAATTAATTGCCCAGTTGAGATCTGATAACATGAATTTATAGTGGATCTTAGCAATATGGTGGTGTTAGTTGATGTGATTTCCTCCATTGAGGGTTCAGGAGCTCAGGAATTTGATCAGAATGTAGATGGCAAGTAGTTTCCTGGGTTAAGGATCCATAGCATGTGGGTGGAATAGGTCAAGGGTACAAGGGAATCCAGAGCCAAGGACAATGACATTGCATAGTTAAAATGGTTTTTAAGTATAAGATCAAAACTGAAGGAGAGGAAAGCCAGAGCATCAGTGATGGACTGGGAGAAAAGGAGCAGTGGAAAGATCATAGGTTCCTTGAGAACAAAGAATCATTTTAGGAGGAGTGAAGTAGAGAGAGAAATGAAAATACAAGAGATTATGACCAAAGAGTAAAATTTCAGAGTTTAAAATCATGGAAATGGCACAGTTATTGGAAATGCTGAAATTTAAGTTATGCCTATCTTTGGGTGACTGAGGTCAAGTAAAGGTTTATATTCTTGGTGCTGACGGGGATGATGAACTTGAAGGCCAAGGTGTTGGAGAGGCTATTTATCAGTGTATATATTGCTAAGTCTGTCAATATTAAGCCAGGGGAAGATTATGAGTCATGTATTGAGCACCTTGAGAGAGTAGGAAGAGTGCCCAGGATATCCAGCAGGTTACAACAACAAGGCTCTGGCTAGGGTGACGTAGATTGATGGACTGAACTACAAAGAAGGAGTTGCTAAGAGATGATAGTTGAAAGGAAGATTATAGGATCACATTTAGAGCAAGAAGGGACTTTAGGGGGGCTATTGAGTCTTAATTACCTCATTTTACAGAGAAAGGAACTGAGGCACAGAGAGGTTAAGTGATTTACCCAAAGTCGCACAGCTCATGAGAGCTTCCTGATTCCCAAGTCCAGCGCCCTACCTCCCCATGCTTCCTCAGGATCTAAGCCTGGTGTCTCTGGGGCCATGAGAGCACTCCAGCTAGTGCTGGAGGGGAAAGCCAGGGATATCTTTAAGATGTCTGATGCCTTTCAGAAAAAAAAGAGGCGTCTCTGATCTCAAGGTAGTGAAGGTATGAGATGAAGATGTCGAGGAGCACAGTGAGTCCCAAAGAAGGCCATGGAAGTTATAGCAGAGGAGATTAGTTTCTGAGTAAGAGAAGTAATAGAGAATGAGTTGTTGTTGCTGTTGTTTGTTGTTGTCCTGTCCAGCTCTTCATGATCCTGCTTGGGGTTTTCTTGGCAAAGACACTGGAGTGGTTTGCCATTTCCTTCCCCAGCCCATGTGGTATGTGGTATGTGGTAATCGTGGGAGATCTTTGACAATGAGTCCCATAGACCCTGAAGAGTTGAGTTCCTTGAGGCAGGCAAAGTTGGTGTTGTTCTCTTGCCTGCTAAGAGTAAGATTGGGAGGTGAGGGAAGATCCTTGTCTTGATGCTTCTAACTCTGTTTACAGACCGTTCCATGTCCTACCCAGGTAACCTCAGCCGTTCATCTTCCCTCCACTATCAAGATCGAACAGATAGCTTGATTTCTTCTATAAACCCCGCTACTGCCAGCAACTCGTTAAACCAGTATGTCTCAGACTTCAGTGTCCGGGCTCTCACAGATCTGCAGTATGTTAAGGTGAGAACCACGCCCAATCTAGCACCCTGTGCACATCCCCTTGGGCTTCCTCGCTCCCCTGCCCAACTAGATCTGGCTATGTGGATTTCTGTCTTTCTTGGAAACAAGTATCTTGACTGATTCTAGCCTCAAGGGGTTTATCTTCTTCCTTGGATCTGCTCTCTGCTCTCTATTCGGCTTTAAATGACTGTATTTCATTCTTAACTAGCCTAATGATCAGCTGAGATCTCTACTTTCCATGACTGTGACTCTTTCCCCTCACAGATCACACGGCAGCAGTATCAGAATGGGTTGATGGCCACAAGAATGGAGAGCTGCCCCCAGACTCCTGTAGACAATGTCACTGCTGAAGGCTTCTTGTCAGAGAAGTCAGATCTGCAGATAACTGATGAGACTACAAGCCTTCTCAATGATCGAAATGTTCATCTGAACAAGACCACCCACAACTCCTGTGAGAGCCCCATGTGACAGGGGGGCCCGGGGCCCCCCACCAATCCCTTGGGGGCCTCCCTAGTGGGCCCACATCCACAGAGGGAGCGGAGCAGACAGGGGAGCATGGCCCTGGCCACTCCCTTGATAACCTGTCTGGCTCTCCAAGCAGATGTTCCCTAGCCTGTCCTAGGCAAGGAGAAGACGTTGCCCTTCCACAGGGAGCCTTCGAGGAGCTTCCAGGGAATACAGGTTGCCTGGAATTTCTGTAGGATTGCCTGGGTAGTACTGCCCAGAGGCAGATCCCGGGAACAGTTGGGAAGAGGCAGGGATTTTTTTTTTTTAAATTGAGAGGATTTCTAAAGAAAGCTCATTGCTGCTCTTTCTAAACTTCACTTTGGGGGGAGGGTGGGATGGGGTTGGGATAATGGGATTAGGAGTTTTTATTAAATTTTTTTTAAAGAAAATTTGGGGTACTGCCTCATATGAGGTTTCTTCCCCAGGAAGCAATAGCCATAATTCCCTTCCCTTTAGCCTTGAGCTTCTAGCTTATTTTCCCTGACTCAGGGATCTCCGGACCCAGCTGCCTCCTCTCCAGGCCTTTCTGATGGGTCACATCCTAGGGGCTTGCTGGAAGAAGGGGATCATACCCTATGCATCAGCCAAGGAACCTAAGATCTTTAGACAGAATTATCTAGGCATGTGACTGAGGGATTATTCCTTAGAACTGGGGAAGATTAGTGCTTCTGAATGGTCAACATTCAGCATCTGAAAGCCCTTGATCAAGGACACAATAAATAGAGGTATGGGGAAGAGCTTCTGCAAAGCCATGGGCCAGAATCTTCCCAAATCCAGAACTCCTTGAGCTGTGCAAAACGGCTCTTACAGGGTATCTAGTGGACTGGGCCATAACTCTTTCATTCCTTTTGATAACATGGTTCCCCCTGCACCTACCCCTTACTCTTGTGATGATCCCTTATGATGAGAACTGAAAGTGTTACAGTCTAGAGTCATTAACATCAGCCCCTGCCCTTTCTTGAACCAAAGTCCTGGCCCAAATGGAAAGAACATCCAAACTGAAGGAGGCCTGTCTGGGAATAACCCCTTCAGGAGTGAGATTGTTTTGGGGCATTTGTGTTGCTGATAACGAGTTCTTTAGAAGCCAAGTCAAAGACAGACTCCTGACCTGGGAGGAGCCATCCCAGATTTCAATATTCCCTATTTTTGATCCAGATTTATCTTTCTACCAGGGCAAATACCTTTGCCTCCCCTCCCAAGGGTTGGAGATGAGAACTGTGAGGTAGGTGAGGTCTCCTTGTCCCTTACACTGCAGCACAAGGCAGGATGCTCTTCGTCACTTGACAGCTTCTGCATTTCCTTCAGGGAGGGAATTGTTCCATCTACAAAGCTCCCTGCCCTGTCTGGATAGTCCTGCTTTAAAACAGTCATCCTAAATTCTATGGATGTCATTAATGGTACTGTAGCCCTGGAAGGTCAAGTTTTTCCCAGAAGCTCTCTGCAGGTCTCTTCTTTTTGGCCCTATCCTAGAACTTTAGATCTCCTTGATGGGGATGCATTGGGACCAAGTGGCTCATTGCCTATTGTTCAGAAGGAAAGAACAGCTGGGGCCCAAGAACCATGTGGAGAGTAGATGGTTTCTTTAAGGTGTTATTTATTTATTTATTCCATTTCCCAGCCAACAGAGTCCTGCCTTCAGGTGCTCTGTTCTCCAGATGCCTAAAGAATCCCATCTCTTGGGACCAAGACATATCTTCTGTCATGGATGTCTGCCCTTTTTTGGTCATCTGAAAACAAAGGGGGCATCGTTTTCCCTAGTTTGCATCGTTCACTCCTCTCCTGCTAGAGTCAGCGACCTCCATGGATTGTCAGCCACAAGGCCCTTTGTGGGGAAATTCCACCTTAATTCTCCAAGGGCATCTGTGACTATCCTCAGCCAGGAGGTGACAAGGCTTGAATTCTTTTGAGACCTGTTAGAGTGCAAGGGAATCCTATGGTGTAAGCCAGGGTAAGCAAAAGTCATTCTTCTGAACCAAATGGATGTGTGCTGAATAAATCGAGGCAGATTACACACACTTCCACACCTACCTCTTTTTAAACATATGGTTACTGCCAACAGATGCTCCTTTCTCCCAACTTCTGGACAATGTATTCCTGCTGATGGTCAGGCAGCATTCCCAAATGTTTCTGGTCCAAAAACTTTCTCCTTCCAGTGGAGGAAGGAGGAGCTTTCCAACTTCCCATGACCTGGTCTCACCTTCTCCTTCATGTGCTTTCTTCCTGGGCCTGAATTACATACTGGAATTGTCCTATCTCTGCTTCTTCCTACAAACTGAAATCAATCTTCGTAGACAGCATTTAAATGCAATAGACAGGTCATATCCAACATTGCAAATAACTCCTATTTATTTTGTGCGAGATTTTAATTTGTATATTTTTGTGATTTTTTTTTTTTTGGCCATTGTTATAAGTTTGACTCTCGGGGAGTTTTGCTGTTTCATTTTGTCTGTGTCTTTTGTCACAAAGCTGATAATATTTGCTAAACGAGATATGGAATTTATTTTTGATTGGTAATAAAAACGAAATATGTATAGATCTCAGTGAGTTTGAAATCCTTCTGAACTGCCTGAAAGTTCAGGGGACAAACAATCTCAGAAGAGCAGACAGATTTTAGTAATTTTAGTAATTCTGTTCCCAGTGACAGGACAGGTATTCTGGATCTGTTAAGTAATTAAGTATTAACACAATGTTTGGAACAGGAATGTAATCAACATGGAGAGGAGACAGATGATATCATATAATTGGCATGGGCTTGGAGTCAGAAAATCTGGTTTCAAGTCCCCACTCTTCTACATACTAGCTGTGTGATATCAGACAAGTCACCTCCCCTCACTGGGCTTCAGTTTCCTCAGTTGGAAGATGAATGGATTGTACTAAAACATATCTGGGGTAGCTAGGTAGTACAGTGCATAGAGTGCCAGGCTTGGGAGTCAGGAAGACATCTTCCTGAGTTCAAATTTGGCCTCAGACCAGTAGCTGTGTGAGCCTGGACAAGTCACTTAATCCTATTTGCCTTAGTTTCTTCATCTGTAAAATGAGCTGGAGAAGGAAATGGCAAACCACTCCAGTGGGGTCACGATGAGTCAGACACAACTGAAACCACTGAACAACAATAGAAGATCTCTAAGGTCATTTGCAGTTCTAACATTCCACCAAGGTCTTTTTAAGTCTGGTCTTTTGGCACAGGAGTTTAAAAAATGGCAGATGTTGGCCCATGAAATTAAATTCAAGGCAGCATGGTTCTGGACTTGGGAGTTAGAGGACCTGGGTTTTAACTCTGGTTCTGTCATTTATTCCTCTTGACCTTGGCTAGGTCATTTCTCATCTTTGGTTCTTAGTTCCCTCAACTATAAGTGTAGGGGCTTGACCTTCCAGCTCTAAATATTCCATGACCACATCTCTTTGGATAAGAAATTGTGGGAGAAGGAAAGAACCTTGTATCTGGAGTCAAGAGAAAGACCTGGTTTTGAGTCCTACTTTAAACAATTTACAAGTTGTATATCCCCAGGCAAGTCACTTAACTTCTTCTGGGCCTCAGTTTCCTCATCTATACAATGAAGATAGTAATGCCTGTAGTGCCTTATGTAAGTATTAAGCCTATAAATGTCCACTGTTATTAAGATGCTTCTGAGAAGGGGTGGAGACTGTAATTAAAGAAATCCAGAAGGAAACAAATGGGCAACAGTCCAGGTACAAGGGACTGGTTAATGGCTAGCTTAGTGCTTTGGTCCTAGAAAGAGGACAAAGAAGCAGGTCTGAAAGGGGTTGTAAGTGGAAGAAGTTAGGGATAGACCAGGTGCATCACCAACACCAAAAAACTGCTGGATTCTTAGAAGTCTTTGGGTAATGACATTTTAAATGTTTCCCAAGTTTGTTAATTCCCAGTAATATTAAGTAATCTCAAATCAGTGGATAAGTGTTTATTAAGTACCTAATATTCTTTTATAGCTCCTCTTCTGGGGGAATCAGGCGAAGAAGAAAATTACTTCTCCAACAATAAGGAACTGCCTCTGGGTCCACAGGGGCTGGTGTCTTTTGCCCACTCCCTTCTCCATTACAAGGTCCATATACTATAGACCTGTGCATGTGGTCTGGACTGAGTTCAGTCCTGGGAGCTCAGGCTTTAGTGAGAGTGGGGCTATGATCCCTTTTCTCACACTCTTCAGCTCAAACCTTAATCCTAGTAACCCAGGACAATTTAGCTTAGGTTTTGGCTCATCTCTGATGTTTCTCCAAAAAGGGATAGTAAAAAGGTATTCAGTGTGTATTATGAATCAAGGATGCAGGTATGCCTACACAAAAGACAGCTCACATCGACAGAGCAACTTAGAACAGCATTTTGCAATACCTGCTGTTAACAGTGTTCTGGGAGGCTGATACTTAAGCTTCATCACAACATAAAATAGTTTGCAGGTCTGGCTGCGTATGAGACATTTTACATTTCACTCGAGCTCTTTCCACTGTCCAAACAACTACCAGTGTAACACCTGGTAAAATGGAGCTGATGGTGGTCTTGTCATCTTTGATCAAAAAACTCCACTTGCAGCCGGGCAGTTTCACTCAATAAACCCAGTCCCTTTGGACCTCTTGGACTTTTAAGTTGACTCCCGAGCCTTGACACCTCTACCTTGAGGTTGATAATTACTTGTTCAGAAAAGGAAACAAATCAGCCATAGGTCCAGATGCAAGCTCTCCTAATTGAGTCCATTCTCCATGTGGGAGTAGGTGGAAAGCTCACCTCTCGCCTCCATACAACACTTCACAGGGAGTTGAGAGAGTGAGCTGCTTGCCCTGCAGAAGAGTCAAGGCAAGGAGAGCTGGCAGGAAGCAGTTTCTTCTTTGAACTGATTCAGCATTCTACTTGCTGTCACGAGATGGGAAGGAGGACCAAAGGTCCATTCAGGATTTTCTGGGAGTCCTTTCAGCCCTGGCCCCAGACACCTCATTTGTTTGACCAGGATCAGGAAGGGTAACTGAGAATGTCCTGTCATATGTACCCTGTTACATACATATATAGCAGTGAGTAAAAACCAAGAGTCTGTCCACTCAAAATGGTCAGTTGGTTGTGGTATTTGAAATTCTTTTTGGCCAGCATAATTTTGCTCTCTTCTCCAGCTTGGTCATATTTTTTTTAAAAATGATATTTTAACAGTTAACAAACATTTCTCAACAAAACAAACAACCTTTTCTCTCCAGAGTACATTCCTGTGAAACAGTTACCTCGCTTGTGTTTTCCTACTACACTGTTCTCAGCCACCGAGGCTT